TTGCGAGTCTTTCCCTCGCAAGGAGATGTGAGCTCTACCGGTGGCGCTGCAGCGCGCCTGGATACCATCACAGACACAAAGAACCTTCTCTAACTCAGGACAATTGGAAGACAGGAAGATTGTGGCCTTACGCCAGGGAGCTTGACACTGGCAGTAGTCCACTCGCTGAAACTTTGCATTGAAGCGGGTTACTAAATCAAGAAGCTGCGGCAGGAGCCAGAGTCTGGATGAGGCTGGGTTGTCTAGCATAACGAACAGGCCAGCGGTGGCAGCAACCTCTATCATACTTAGGAAGTGTGACATAATCAGGCTGGCTCCATCTACCTTCGACTGGTCAGATGCCGAGAGGGATGGAAGACCAAAAAAACAATCGTCACTGCGAAGAAAGGGCGGGCCGAGCCCGTCGTTTTTTCGGGCCCTGGACCAGGTCTTACAGTCGAGGCCAAAGTGCAAACCGCACAGCTGTATAGAAGCAATACGTTGGCGAAAAAGGGCGATCACTCGTGGGTCTGCGAGGCCGGCTCGAGCCCCGCCGACGCAGTCCCAGCCCTCGGCTGCGAGCCCGCGCTTGCCCACGGCACTGGAGAGGTTGGCGGGCCCGCGCATGAGCTCGACGAACGGCGGGATGGCGCTGCAGAGCCCGGGTGGCGGCCCGAAACGCCGCGGCGGACCTTGGGCCCGCGGAGGCCCTGGCCGCTGGCGCCGCGCTTGCGCTGACAGCCCAGGCCCTCGCACAGGAGGCGCTCGAGCTGTCCGGGGGCGCCCCTGGCCCTCTTGATGACGGCGGCGGGGAGCGCGGCCCCCTGCTGCTGGATGAGCGCGTGCGCCTCGTAGCGCCTGACGCCCTTTTCGGAGGCCCACCTCCCGCGCCCCTTGATCTCTGGCAGAGATCGCTAACGTTGAAGCCGGTCGTGGGAAGGACCTCCGCGGCGCAACTGGTGCAACGCGTACTTGTTGGGGATGTCGAGGATCTCGAGCGCCTTGCTCCAGAAGTCGCGCAGCAGAAGCACGGTGGGCCTGAACAGCGGGCGTCGCGGCGAACCGCTCTCGACCGCGCGCAGCAGGTCGCCGAGCCGCTCCGCCTTGACGGAGTCGAGCATCATCGACTCGTCGGAGAGCCTGACCTTGCCCACCTCGCCACGGTCGCTGGGGTGGAGGTTCGGCGCGAAGAAGCCTGGCGACGCCGACGGGGGCACCAGATCCTCCTCGAGCAGGTTCTCCGCCTCGGACGGACGCAGGTACGCCAGGAACAGCGTCAGCACCACGAGCGCTGCCATGGGCGCCTTGAAGCTGACGATCATGATCTGGGCGATCAGGCAGGTCAGGATCCACGGGGTCGGGGGCCTCGTGGGTCCCGGGTCGAGCCTCTCCCATCCGTGCATCGCTCGCGACAACCTCGGAAGGCGGAGCGCGCCCCGCCGGGAAAAGTCAGGGTGCTCTGAGAGAAAGGCCGCGTAGGTCCGGTGGACGACCCCTCTGTCGAGGCCCTCTGTCCAGGCGTAGTTGGCGAAGTTCGCCAGCGCGCGGTCGGCCTCGGCCGGGGTCGCAGGGTGAGAGGCCGTGGGCCACGACGAAACGCTCGAGCTCCAGCATGCAGTCCAAGTAGATGTCACCGCGTGGCGGGGGCCACAGCGTTCACCTCCAGGAAGGACTGCGCGCCCTCCTGGGTCTTGTGGAACTCGCCCGACGCCGTCGCCCTCCCGGCTGCCCGCCCCTCGCGCGAGCTGCCCTCGAACGGCCGACCTCGCAAGCTGGCCCTGTCGAATGGGCGGGCTCCGCGGGCAGCGCGGCGGGCGGGCGCCCTTCGGAGGCGAGATGTCTCCATCCTTGAACTCCCAGCGGCGCGAGCCGTAGTCGGATCGGTTGAACTCAGACGGGACCCAGCGGTGCTCGAACCAAACATTGGCTGCGATGGCATAGGAGGCCTCCCGGCGACAGCACAGGAGGGGCCCGAAAGAAGAACATCTGCCTCTGGAAAGGGCCAGGATGGTTCCCAGGATGTCGCCTAACTTCAAGTGCCGCTTGTTGAAGGCCCTGAAGGGCCGAAGTATTTGTCTGGGCCCTGCGCTGCTGGCCCGCGCCTCCAAGACAGCGATGGCCTCCGAGACGTGGAAGGGGGCTGCGAGGACCTCGCCCTAGGGCTCTTCCTTGAGGAACTCGAGGGGGGCCTCACGGAAGTCGGGGCTGAGCTCCCAGGGGCCCTCGTTGTGGGGGCCCTTGAAGCCTGAGACGGCGTTGACGTCCCCGAAGACACCCAGCTGCCCCCCAAGACGGCGCCCCTCGTTGATCTCCATCGCGCCCCCGCAGGAGTCCAGCGCGGGGCCCAGCGCAGTCGCGCGCGCTGAAATAGCTGACGGAACTTTGTACCTCCACCTCTCGCTGGCCCTTCCGACGGGCGCAACGACGGAGGAGGGGGGGGGGGTTGTAGCCGCGGCCATCCCTGAGAGGCAGGCGTCTTTGGCGACCGCTGTGGAACTCCACGGCATTCTCAAATTGCTGAACATCGCACGCAGCAGCGAACGGCACCCGAAAACTTCGAGCGCCGACGAGGGCCACAGGCGCACTCTGTCTGCGTAATGACATCCGATGAAATCGCACAGGTTCCCGAGGATACATAGCAAATCACGGCGAAACATAATGTGATCAATGACGTGCCCAACAAAACGATAAATATATTGCCCTGTGGCCCTCGGCCGCTCTAGCCAGAGGCAGGCTTGCCGGGGCCTCTCGGAGCGCTCGGGCTTCGAAAACACCATGCCCTGCACCCCGTCGACGAGACGGCCCAGGCTGGTGAAAGTCGGCGAGGCTCTTACCACCTCGTGGACCTCGACACCGAAGGACACTCAATCGGCAATAATGTCATCGAGCATGCTATCGCATCGTGCTGGATCAGTGCCCACCGCGTTGATGTTATTACAATAGGGCAGCAGACACGGCAGACCCCCCTTCCAGAGGTGGAACTGGACCATGATCCGTGAGCAGACGCTCAGGACCCAGCGAGGACGCCTGCAAGCAGCGGAAGACGTTGCAGCGCTGCCCAAGCCAGAAGGCCCAATTCCACCCCATCGGGACCACCGCGAGGAAGGGCCAAACCCAATCCCCGCGGCCCGCCTGAGGGGCGCCCACCGCGCTGCGACCCCACTGCGACAGCATAGCCTCGGGCACAGGTGGCAGTGAGAAGAACAAGCCGACCTCCTCACTGAAACCCAGCATGTAGAAGTAGTTGCGCGTGTCGGCCTGGGCGCAGCACAGGGCGCCCCTGAACTTGCCGCTGTCGTCGGCGACGCGCCCGAGGTCGATCCCCCCGTAGGCCGCCGACGTGCCCATGCTCTGCGGGGGCGCGCGGCGGAAGCGCCTGTTCGGGGCGCGAGCACCCCAGGCGAGGCGCCGTTGCCCGTTCTTCTTGGCCACGAAGAACGGGGTTGCGATGTCCCTGGGGTCGAAAGAGAACGACGCCATGCCTGCGGCCACAAGGTCACCCAAGGAAGCGATGCAGGCGTCCTGATGCCTCCGCAGCGAGTCGCCCATGCACGGGGCGATGGGGGGCTCGGTTTCGACGATCTGACCCCGCTCATCAGCAGAGCGTAGCATGCGCGCCTCGAAATGCAACAGATACCCCCCCCCCACCCACCGGGCCCATCACCGTCTCCACCCGGGGCGCTGCCGATCCCACTCTGGGGATATCAACACGAGATCCGCCACGCTGCACGACCGGGCTCTTGGCCTCGTCGCCAGTGTATGAGAGGCTGCTTGCCAGAAGCTCACGAACGGCCTCACGGCGGGCGAGCGCGGCGCTGACTCTTGGGGCAGCCTTCACCTGGGAGAAAATGGCCCGATGGGCCGCGCTGCTGCGCAGGAGGGCGCAGCACGTCGAGGCCTTCGATGACCTCGCTGCACTCCGCCTCGAGGGTGCGGCGGCGTGCCAGCCTGCGGCGAACGCACACCGAGGCCCCAGGCCTCGTGGGTGGCGTCTGCCCCACCGTCGGCAGCGGGAAGAGGTCACGCTGGCGGTCAGGCAGAGAAGACAAAACTGCGGCGGGCACTTCCCGCCGGGGGGCCCGATGTCGGCTGGAGGTCGGCCCGAGCCTCCAGCCGGAGGAGGTCGTCCGCCATCTGCCCCAGCTCCGCCTGGGGCGCGCTTGGGGTCGTTCCTCCTCAACTTGGCCTCCTCCTTCGCCTTGCATGTTTCTTTCAGGATTGCCGACCTGCCCTTCAAGCTTTCGGCGATCTACTGCTGGAGAGCCGGCGCCGTGGAGGCACCGCCCTTCCTGGTGGCGAGGCCCATGTAGACGTCACTGGCCGAGTAGTCGGGGTTGGACGGCGAGCCGCGGTGCGCATCCTCGACGAGCTGGAGGCGCCTCGCGAGAAGCTTGGCCGACTGCAGAGCCCCGATGTTGAGCTGGTCCACTGTCAGCATCGACTCGAGCACCCTGCAGATCACCTCGTGCTCGTAGACCGAGCGGTCACCCTCTGGGATCCTGCCGCCCCCGACCCAGCTCTCGTGGTGGGTCACCGCCGAGAGCCCGGCGTCGTGCCAGGAACGCACCAGGGACAGGCAGGCGCGAGGGCCCTCGACCATGACCCCTCCTTCTGGCTCGTCTGCCAATCTGCCAGCTGGTGGTCCACGGCGTCGGAAAAGAGCCGTCGTCGCACTCCCTCTTGATTGAACTTCGCGTGCATCACCCTGAGGTCGTCAACTACATAGCTCTCCAGGTCTCGGCGCGCAGACGGGGCGTCACGTTGCCCGCTGGGAGGGGGACCACTGCACAGTCCCCGAGCACCTGCGCGCCGTCGGGGGGCGGGTCGGGGAGCACCTGACCACGAGAGAGTCCGTGGCAGTCCTCAATCGCGACCCACACCGAGCCAGGAGGCGCCGCGGGCACAGCAGCACCTGCACGCCCCACGACTCCTGCCACCCCGGCTCCTCTGCGGGGGACTGCGGCTCCAGCGGCTCCTGCACCCCCGAATACGGCAGCGACAGCACCTGCAGCAGCGGGCGCCGCGACGCGGCCCTCCACCATGAGGGCACCCTCGCGCTTCAGCTGCTCGAAGGTAGCCGCATCGGGAGGGTTCTGGAACCTGTAGATCCGCCGACCGTCCACGCCGACTGGAATGTCCCCAGGCTGGCCGATCCACCTCACCTCCGCAATGTCGTCGTTCTGCTGGCTGAAGTCCTCTGCATAGTGATCGCCGTCGTTCGTGATCGTGGAGACGAGATACCCCAGCGATGGGGCGCTCGTGCCAGACTTCGGGCCCTGGTATATCATACCGCATGAGGACCCAAGTCGCCTGGCGACGCCATCAGACGCGCTGGAGAGGCTGGCGCCGACGCAGCTGAGCGACCTGCGCCCTAGCTGCCTCCTCCACTCCCCCGTTCTCGTCCTGGTCGCGTCAACTCCGGCGCCTTCCCCACGAAGAGGCACCCACACTGCCCACGCTGCCGACGAGCACGCCGACAGTCAGGGAGGGCAGATCGTAGCCGAAGAAATCCTCCTCGGCGGGCAAGGGGTAGGCGACAGGACAGGACAAATTGATCGACGGCGCCTGAGGAACCTCGGGACAGGCAAGCTGTACCAGCGGGGCCTGGCAGGTGAGGTTGGGCGCCACGAGTCTCGGGCACGAGAAGTTCGGCGCTGGACAAGACAGCGCGGGGCAGACCAGCCTGCAGTCGGGGCAGGATGGCACGGCCTGCGAGAAGGCCAGGTACTGGGCGAACAACTCGGCGCCCTTCCACAGACCAGCCCTGAGATCCCGCACGGGAATGACCTGCCCTGGGTCCGTGGGGCCTGGAAGCATGCACGGCGAGAAGCATTCGCCGCAAAAAATATTGAGCATATATGGAATGGAAAGAATCGGCATCTTCGTGCCATTAATCAGTCAAGCCAGCTCCACACATACACACAAATAACAGGATTCCCGATGTTGTCCCATGTTTGGGGGGCTTCTGTTTTCCCCCCCACTTCCCATATTTTCCCATATTTTCGGGGGAATCGACGATGAATTGTGTCTGTGTGTGTGTGTGTTTTCCCTCCTGCTTCTTTGTGAATCAGGATCCAAATGCCCATATCTACTACCTAACGGAATCGATCGTGGAGCATGCAGGCTCAGTGTTTGCGGACACCTTGCCCAACAGGGACAGAGTTCTGGTCATTGACCACTTGGGCGCGATGGGCAGGAAGGCGGAACCCCCTTCTTTTCTTCGCACTCGCTGCACAGATTCAGGACACCACCTGTTACCCATAGACGATCCCTCGGCGAACACAGGAGTTAAGAAGCGACTCGACTCAAGAATGCGGCGAAAGACTACATGGGGGTCATCTTTGACACGAGCATGACTACCGGTTGTCACAGAAAACAAAAAGCAATAACGAAGCCCAATGTGCAGGCCTCAGTTTGTGCTGCGGCGGGGACGGCAACACCGAGTGGTACAGAGCTGCGGCCACCGCCGGAGAGCCACGTCGACCGAGAGGGAGCGGAGGCCACAGACCTACCAGACGGCCCTGGCATACCTCACCACAGTGATCATCCTCGTCCCGGAGCTCAACCGCATGTCGATAAACCACCGCGTCGGGATGATCATCCCGGTCTCGATGAACCACAGGGCCACTGTGAAGTTCCAGATGGATCCCGTCTGGATCGAAACATGACTGATGTGAACACGAATCTGGCGGACAGTTCGGCTCATGACGGCAGTGCCTCAGAAAGCAGAAGAAGATCGAGCTTGCCAACCATCGAAAGCAATGATCAGGAAGATCGGCGACGTCAAGCAGAGCTATCACCACCTCACGATAATCGAAAAATGCCGAGAGCAGTCATGAGATCAATCTTATATAAAGTATAAATGTGAATATAGCTTCCTCTCTCTCTCTCTGTCTGTCTCTCCACTCCCTCCATCCCTCCCCCCTCGTTTTCTCTATATCTTCTCCATCTATGCGTATACACACATAGATACATACAATAATGGAAGAATGGATCAATGAATGAATGAATCTCTCCGTCCACTTCATCGCTGGACATTGTCCGAAAGGCGCTTTTCCGTTCGTGCAAGCCAAACCCTCTTAGCATGCTTCTCGTCTGGCCTACGCCCCTAGGCTGCTGGCTCTGACTCTCCGAGAGGGCTGGGCGATGCAGCTTACTCAATGCGGTCTCTAACGCGACGGGTTCGGCCACCAATCCGGATCCACATCCCCCTCCCCCATCCCATTCCCCCCTGCCCCCTCATCCGCCTCTTCTCCAGCGCCGCCTCCCACGTAGCACCTCAGAGCCCCCCCGCTCCCACGGCGGCCCCCAGGTCCGTCTCCGTGGCCGTGGTGGTGGCGCAGCCCCGGCCCTGGTTCACGCAGCACCAGTTCCGGCGCTCCACGGACCACCTCGGAAAGAGGCCTCCTCCTCTTCCTCCTCCTCCCGGTATCATCATCATCATCATCATCATCATCATCATCATCATCATCATCATCATCATCATCATCATCATCACCATCATCATAATCATCAGGATCATCAGAATCATCAAAATCATCAGAATCATCAGAATGACCATCATCATCATCATCATCAGCATCAATAGCAGCAGCATTACCAGCAGCAGCCTCAAGGTAATTATACTAGTCATCATAATCATGGTAACAACGATAATAGAAACAAGTGGCACGTGTGCCATGGCTCTTGCACAAAAGGGAAGGGGGAGGGTCGGAGGGGTGTGCCGTGCCAAAATCAAAAGGGTCGGGGTGGAGGGGCGCACTGGCTTGTGAGTGGGTGGGTGGGGGGGGGGCCTAATAAAGGGGTCGCGGGGCGGATGGGGGCGCGCTGGCTGGTGGGGGGGGGGGGAGCGAGGGGCGCGGGGCGCGCGGGGAGGGAGTGGGGGCATGCCGAAATAAAGGGGTCGCGGGGCGGATGGGGGCGCGTTGGCTGTTTAGTTGGGGGATGCGGTGTGTGTGTGTGTGTGTGTGGTGTGTGCGTGCGTGTGCGTGTGCGTGTGCGTGCGCGTGTGCGTGTGCGTGTGCGTGTGCGTGTGCGTGTGCGTGTGTGCGTGTGCGTGTGCGTGTGCGTGTGCGTGTGCGTGTGTGTGTGCGTGCGTGCGTGCCGACATAAAAGGGGTCGGGGCGGGGGGGCGCGCTGGCTGGCTGGTGGGGGGGATGCGGGGGGAGTGTGCCGTGCCGAAATAAAAAGGGTCGGGGCGGAGGGGTGTGCCGTGCCGAAATAAACAGGGGTCTCGGCTGAGGGCCGCGCTGGCTGATGGGGGGGGGGATAGGGGTCGGGGCGCCGTGCCAGAATAAGGTGTCACGGGGGCGCGCTGGCTGGTGGGTGGGGGGGAGGGGTCCGTGCCGAAATGGGGTCGGGCGGAGGGGTGTGCCGTGCCGAGATGTAGGAGTCGGAGCGGGGGCGCGCGGGGGGGGTGGGGGGGGGCGTGCCGAAATACAAGGGTCGGGGCGGAGGGTGCGCTGGCTGGTGGGTGGGGGGGGGGCAGGCGGGGGTGCCGTGCCGAAGTAAAGAGGTCGGGGCGGGGGGCGCGCTGGTTGGTTGCTGGTGGTGGGGGGGATGCGGAGGGGGTGTGCCGTGCCGAAATAAAAAGGGTCGGGGCGGAGGGCTGTGCCGTGCCGAAATAAAGAAGGTCGGGGCGGAGGGGTGCGCTGGCTGGCGGGCGGGGAGGATGCGAAGGGGGTGTGCTGTGGCGAAATGAACAAGTCGGGATAAGGAGGTGTGCCGTGCCGAAATAACGGTGGCGGGCCGGAGGGCGCTCTGGCTGGCGGGGGGGGATGCGGACGGGGCGTGCCGTGCCGATTTAAAAGGGTCGGGGCCGAGGGGTGTGCCGTGCCGAAATAAACGGGTCGGGGCGGCGGGGGCGCGCTGGCTGGTGGGTGGGGGATGCGGAGAGAGTGTGCCTTGCCGAAAGAAAAGGTCGGGGCGGAACGGCCCGCTTGCTGGTGGGTGGGGGGATGCGGAGGGGTGTGCCGTGCCGAAAAAAAGGGTCGGGGCGAAGGGGTGTGCCGTGCCGAAATGTAGGGGTCGGGGGGGGAGCGCGCTGGTTGGCTGGTGGAGGGATGCGGGGGGGGGGGTGCCGTGCCGAAATAAAGAGGGGTCGGGGCGGAAGGTGTGCCGTGCCGAAATAAAAAGAGGTCGGGGCGGGGGGCACGCTGGCTGGTGGAAAGGGGGGATGCGGAGGGGGCGTGCCGTGCCGAAATACAAGGGTCGGGGCGGAGGGGTGTGCCGTGCCGAGAAAAAAAAGGTCGGGGCGGAAGGCGCGTTGGCTGGTGGGTGTGGTGCGGAGGGGGGGTGCCGTGCCGAAATAAAGGGGTCGGGGCGGAGGGGTGTGCCGTGCCGGAATAAAAGGGGTCGGGGCGGAGGGGCGCGCTGGCTGGTGGAAAGGGGGGTTGCGGAGAGGGCGTGCCGTGCCGAAATAAAGAGGTCGGGGCGGAGGGGTGTGCTGTGCCGAAATAAAGAGGGGTCGGGGCGGAAGGGTCGGGGCGGAGGGGTGTGCCGTGCCGAAATAAACGGGTCGGGGCGGAGGGGCGCGGTGGCTGGTGGAATGTGTGGGTGGTAGAGGGGGTGCCGTGCCGAAAAAAAGTGGTCGGAGCTCTAGACGCCCTGTGCAAGATAATCATAATGATGGTAATGATCATCATCATGAGCAGCATCAGTAGCAGTATCCTAATCATCATCCACATCATCATCATCATCACCATCATCATGAGCATCATCAGCATTATCATCATCATCAGCATCATGATCATCATCATCATAATCACCATCCTCGTATTCGTCATCGTCATCCTCATCATCATCGCCATCGGCATGGTCACCGTCATCATCACCGTCATCATCAAGAGGATGACCATCATCATCGTCATCAACATCATCGTCAGCGTCATCATCGTCGTTACCATTATCACCAGCATCATCACCACCATCGTCGTGATCATCATCATCATCATCATAATCACCGTCATCGTCACAATCAGCATCGCCACCATCATCAGAAGCATAAGAATAATCATCAGAACCATTATCATCACCATCGTCATCAACATCAACCTCATCAACATCACCATCATCAGCGTCATCTTGATCACCCTCCCCCATCTCATCAGCAGCAGTATAATCAGCATCAGCAGCAGCAGCAACATCATCACCAGCATCATCATCAGCAGCAACATCGTCATCGTCACCAGCATCATCATCATAACACGGACTAAAACAGACCCTGCAACGTACCAGATCCTTTTCTATACTTACGGCGGGTATACTCAGGACTGCTCAGTGCTGACTGGCATCACGAAGGACTCGCAGTGCGCAAGAAGAGCACCCAGCAGTGACTTCAGAAGAGCGCAGCAAGAAGAGCAGCGGCGAAAAAAAAACCAAACGGACACACAAGGGGCGTTTGTGGTGGTCCGCGTATGACGTACCTCCGCTGGGCCTCCCAAGAGCCCACGAAAGTGCCGACCGTTTCGCATATCGCAGCAGCCCAGGGCACCGCGAGCTATAGTGGTGGCCCGCGTATGACGTACCTCCGCTGGACCACCCAGGAGCCCACGAAAGTGCCGACAGTTTCGCAGATCGCAGCAGCCCAGGGCACCGCGAGCTATAGTGGTGGCTCGCGTATGACGTACCTCCGCTGGACCGGACCACCCAGGAGCCCACGAACGTGCCGACAGTTTCGCAGATCGCAGCCCCCCAGGGCACCACGAGCTGTAGTGGTGGTCCGCGTATGAGTTACCTCTGCTGGGCCTCCCACGAGCCCACGAG